GAGATTTATTCCTTCAAACATTATACTGCGCTTCCGTGTAACATTTTCAGGTAGTGCTGTCCTCTTTTGGAGTGCGTTTTCCTGCTTGCGGTCTACAGCTTTCCAAAAAAGTATGAGTCAGTGGTGACAGATTGCGTGAAATCACACCATACTTTGATACATAAGATGTGTAATAATGCATAAGATGTGTAATGGTTGTATGCAAATGCCAGCATTTTCGTTTACCCATACTCGAAAGATTATGGATATTAACACTTTAATGAAAAATATGCTCCACTTGCTCAAAAAATGTCCAGAATGTATTGTGGATTATCAGCAGTGTTTTTCAGTGTTTGATGAATTCCTCCCATTTATGAACATAACTTGACTGCAGCTAATGCACAGTTTATAGTTTCATAATACTACGAATCGTACTACACTAGTTTCATAATAACTACGAATAACTTGTAGGAAGACAATTGCAACACATTATGCAAAACGTGCAACATGAATGGTATTTATACATTAATGTTTGTGAAAATTGCAACACCATGAAGGAAGGAATTATCGGAAATGAATGGAATTTACTCCACATATTACTGATGGTGGTACTAATAAACGATCAAATTTACAAGACAAAAAACAAAACGAACGTCGGAAGTCAGTACTTTGTAGTCTGAGCGATGATAGCCGGTACACGTCGTGGCATTGAATCATGCAGATTTTGAATGTAATCCTGGGGAATGGCATTCTATATGGCTTCGACCTGACGCCAAATTCAATGATCATTGCTGAGGCTGCTCGCAATCTACACCAAGTGAAATCGAGGATTATACTCAATAGCTACCCAGACCATGATGCCAGGCGTTTGTGCGGTATGACGCTGGATATCATACTGTGGAAGTAGACGTTACCCTCTATAACGACTGACGAGTACTCTTCCATCATTGTACTCCAAATTATAACGTGAGTCTTAGGAGAAAACAAATTGTTGCCATGCACTGCGTTGCCGTACCTACTAAAGGAAGCGTCTATGCTTTAGCGCCACGGAAATCTTGCGTAGAGGAATCTCCACACGCGCCTCATGCTGCAGCAGAAGGCGACGAACCGTGGAGGTAGACAACACAATATCTGTAGTCTTGCTTCAACGGTGTTCTAACACACGAGAGAACGCTGTACGATCCATCACAGACAAGCGGATGAGATGTTTGTCGTCCCATGCCATTGTTCTCTTGCCTACTTCCTTGTCAGAATTTCTTCCACATACGTATCACTGTTTGGAATAACGCTGCGTGCGGGCTGCGATTACTCGATACGAAAGTCAAACATCTCAGATACCGACTATGCGGTTTCATTCGAACTCCTTTGGTTGCTGCTATGATACCCTCCACTGTTGCCAAGGCATATTAACCACTAATAAAACATTCACTGCAGACAGAGGACGATAAGCAGATTTCAACGCAACTTTACAGTCCCTTATATACACAGAACAAACGGCTGGTTCTTATTCCACGCATGCGCAATCCCTTTTTAAGTCTAATCATTTGCATGTCTTTCATTTCTAGTGAGTTTGGTTTAATTTGCATAATTCCATCATGGTGTTGAAATTTTCACGAACATTAATGCAGCTGAAAGCAGAAAAAAAAAACATGTCATTTGAAACTTGCCCAAGTGAATCTTGCAGATTCTTTTTCCTCCTGATGAAGCTTCTTTTCCTTCTGTTTGCCCTCGAAATCAATTGAGATCTTGACTTAATTTTAACTTAAGGTTGTTGTGTTACTAATTTTATATTATTTGTGTAGTTTCCTAGCTCTTGCAATCACTAGAGAAATGCTAACATCGCTCGCTGATTGTGATATTAGAATCTAGAAATATGCTGCTATTAGATCTGCACAGAATTCGAGCAATGACAGTCTGGCACTGCGATATCAGATGACAAACTCTCAGTTCCTTCGAAATGCCACACGATAGAATTTTAGTGCTGTCATAGTCATTAAGCCCCGGAATTTTCATTTATCCTTGTACGAAATGGTCCTTCCCTTCTCAGGTAGAAAACAATTTATGTTTTTTTAGCCAAACTGAACTTACAGTAACTCATTATAATCTATAAAAATAAAGCAGTATACAAAACTGAAGATTTGCGGTTGGGTATAGCTTCCTTTAAAGCTAATCTGGTTTCCAAATTTATGTTTCTTATAATGCAAGGCTATTTATCAACGAAATTTTGACTTTTTTTTTTTCGGTGAGGAAGGAGGGCGAGAAATAATCAAATTCATGACAATAATTCTGCAGACTGTATTCTCCTACGACAACTCGTTTATTTTGTTTTGGAAATTTTACGAAAGCTTTGTGACTTTTAGTGCACTCTGCATATGAAGATAAGTACAGTACCTCAAACGTTTTGTTATAAGCACAAAAGGATCTAAAAAGTAATTTCACGGTGAAAGTAAGTTTTTCTTTTGGATAAACTGAAACATCTATATTATGATACAATAACGAATTAATTGGAAAAATACATCTCAGTATGATATATCAGTATACCACATTCAATTTTCAGATAAATTCACTAAGCAGAATATAATATTTTATTGGCTTAAGTGAAGCTTTCGTGCGAAATGTTTACATGTAAACCTGGCAAACTCCAAGGACCAGAAATTAATTTGCATTGAAATTATTGGCCGGGGGCATCAAAATTGGCAGAAATGAAATGGCGTTTGACGCCTGCTTGTAATTCAACTATCTCCCCAGTTAAAGATATAAATTCTCCGCAGCAATAAAGTCTACTGGATTAATAAATCTCTGAAACTCTAAAATGACTATTGAATTGAAACATTTTAAATTGTTAATATTCTGCTTTAAAGCTGAAGTGATATATTTACACTGCTAGATAAATTGAATGCAAAATCTATTAAACGTCTTAATATAATATTTAAATCCAATCATATATTCGTAAGATTTCAGAAGCTATAAGAAATAGAAAAATTTTAATGCAATCTGCGCATTAGTGCCATAAGGAAACTCAACAACGGTGTTGTATTTACTTTGTGTAAATAAATTCCTTTTTATTCTGATGTAATGTAATCTAGATTTTTTGTTTATGTTAGAGATGGAAGTAAGGAATACGGAGGTTATATTAATAAATCTATTACAGAAGTTCTCATTTTTTTTTACCCCACGTATCCCTTTCACCACTACTAGATCATTCCCCCTCCGTTCCGAAACACGAAAAAGATATATAAATTTATTTAAATTTAGTTTATTTTTAGCGTGTTTATATAAATTAAACAATGAAAAGTATAGAAAATAGTGATAAATACCAAAACTTGAATAATAGTATTTTTTTTTATAAATTAAAACTAAATACTTAAAAGTTAAATAAAATGCTGACTGAATTCCCCCTCTAAAACTATAAAATTAGCCATAGGGAGGAATCTCCCTATGATTGAGAACACCTGATCCGTTGTAAATAATTAAACGAATTTGAGTGCCGATTTCATCAGAGATGCCAATTTAAACTATTATGATTTATAATTAAAAACAAACACTTAAAAGTTACAGATAAAAGTCGGTAATTGTTAAAAAGTAAAAACGGACATTCAAGACTAAAATAAACAGAAAGTTCTAAAACAAAACTCAGTTTATATTGAGATATCTGGAGAAGTTATATTAACTCAATAAATTACTGAGTTATCTGAAGTAACTAAACAAATCATATATGTCATAAAGGCATCTGCAACTTAAATGTTAACTTAAGAAGATATAACTAATAGAAAGAAGCAAGACAAGTGAACAGTGGTTTTAAAGATAAAAAGGGGGTTCGTTTACTTTCGTATACTTCTTCTTTGGATTTTGTACAAAAGGTGCAGCTTTAAACTACGAATTTTAACTAACAATAAATAATAACAACTATATTAATAAATTTATCAGAAAGATGTTTTCAAGATGCAGTTTTGCCTTTACATATATGATGGAAACAAAAGAGCGTAATGGAAAGAACGTTTTTAAAATAATAGCCAAAGCATACAACAAGTAAACTACAACAAGTAAACTTGGCAAAGTGTACTTGTTGTATGCTTTGATAAAAGTACCTGAAGAAAATTATGAACAGTAAATATCAACAATATACACATACGTGTAGAAACAAAATCATAATTAATCATAAACCAAATTCTGAAAAACTTCTTGAAATTAAATCGACAAATAAATATAACAATATTGACTTCTAGGTTTACTAGAGATTTTTAAAATATTTAATTCGTTACAAAATCAATAAATGCTTTCAGACGGAACTAAGATGGAATGTGTTTAAAATGATTAAAAACAGCCTAAAGAGAATGGATTCAATGAGTTATTCTGATTCTCTACGAGAAGTGATATTACAACTTCAGATCTGATAAAGCCATAACTTTGTACAGTACAGCAAAATATGTGGCTACGAGAATCTATTTAAGTGTAGCTGAAATTTAAGTTTCCTGTTAACAGGGTTCAGCCTTTGCAAATCTTATCCATTATCTCTAGTTTGTTGAAAATGTTGACATATTTAGCTATTAAATTTAAGTAGTACTGGGGAAAGAGAGAAAAGCTTTTAGAGATATTACTTTATTACAATTTTTTGCTTAAGTGCAGTAAGTTGCACTGGCGAGGGATTAACTAAAATGACATCAAGCGTTTCTATTCATAAAATTACGTGCGCCTTGCACCAATAAGTTAGATTAATGTTTCTAGATATTACACACAATACATCTGAGGATGGTATGAATAAAAATGTATGCTAGGTATCTAGCAGAACTCTTCTTTTTTAATTCTCAAAGTCTGTATATATTTAAAATATAGCTTTTGAAAGTTGGTTTTATGCCACTTTGAAAAACAGAAACTTATATATGAAATTAAATAGTAGAAAGTCATGCGGAAATATGTTCGATAAGTGACTGGTAATCTATTGGTTTTTTTTTCTTTTTTTCTTTAAGAAAATACAATACATGCGCAATAAAGTAAAATAAAATAATATAATCAAGACTTACCTTTTGTCCATGATGTGTGTCCATTCTGCTACCATAATTTTAAACCATTAGACATGTTATGACTCATTTTCCCCCCGCCAGATGGAGATACTGGAATATCTCATCCAACTTTCGGCGTCACGTTAGCCAGAATTCCATTTGCAGTTCTTTTTGCCCCATAGAAAGTTGTATTTTCGTCATGTGTTTCGTGTTGCGAACGCAGTCGAGGAAATGGTACCTTCAGCTACGTGAACATATTCTGAAAAGAGAATGAATTCTGGTTAGGGAGATAGCGTGTTTGAAATTGTTTGTGTGCAATTTTTTCATGCGATAAAAGTTTGTATCATTCCCTATTCCATCACGGGTGAAAAATGAAAAATTATTATATGCTCGAGAAAAGCAATTTAAAATAACCGCTCTAGGCGTTTCTTGTTACAATATAAACAAAAGTACAAGGATGGTAGAAATACAAACCTTCTAAATTAGTATTTCTGTACGCACGTAAACGTTTAATCTTGAGTAAGATGTGACATGAAGAATAAAGACAAGGAGCTAACTGAAGAAATAATTGTTACGAAAATAAGTAGGAATTTAAAAAATATTTTGCTAAAATCTTCAGCAAATGCTTTTCTCAGAAAGTAAATGCACGCCAATCCAAAATCTTTCGATTTAAAACTTTGAGTATTAGTCTGTTCCACAATGAACGACTTGTATAGAATCGGAAAATTAAATCATAATAGCTTTATACTAGTATACAATATCGCTTGCTTATTAATTATATACCCTACCGCTTCTTATTATTAAGTTACTTTCTGTCCCAAACGTATTTGAGTATAATAGATGGGCAATTTCTGCAAATAAATTGTGATACGAGTTTTAAACTTATCTAATAAGATAATAACTAGCAACTAATCTAATAATTAAATATGTAAAGTAACAAAAAAATAATGCTAATATTAAACTATTTAAGCAGTTTCGAAATTTAATTTAAAGTTGTTTACAAAAACATTTTTATAATTACGTATTAGATGAAATCTTTTATTTTTACAAACAATTGCTCTATCCATGTTTATCCGTTCATTATTCATCAAAATTTTTTCACTCGTATTTTCAGGTTTGTAAAACTGCTGGCAGCTCATCTAATCAGCATACGTTTAGTTCAACAGTTTTTCTTAGAATTTGCAGTGCTGTTCTATATTCAACTGAACTCAGAATGTCCTCACTTGTTATCTCAGTGTGATCGTCAGATGCAATATATTCTAAAAATAAATCATTAAAGCTTCTTGCATTGATGTCTGAAACATTAGCGTTAAATTCCTCTGAGACTTCTAAATAAAAGCCAAATTTTCGAAACCATACTTTAATTGTATTTTGAGAGACTGCCCTCTTGCATTGACACAGGGTGTAATTTCTAAAATTAGAAGAGCCAGAGCCCTATGAAAGGCCGCTAGAAAAGAGTAACAAAAATAAATAAATAAAATAATAACAAAAAAGTTAATAATATAGATATTTCATAAATTATTAAATTAATGATAACTAATTAAACAATAAAACAAAATGACAGACCTCATCAGTGCTTCTGTGTAAAGGTAGAATTAATTAACTTTTTGCAAATTTGTACTTTCTCAGAGATGTTAGATAACATTGTTGTAAAATTGCATAATTTAAATATTTCTGCTACAGAACACTCAATCCCACTGAAGAAATCCCGTTTACATAATGTTCGATGGTGGTCAATCGCAAACAGTTAAATACAGCTAAAAGAAGATAATAAAGAACAAGAACCGAAAACGTAATTTACAAAAACATTTATTTGCTAATAATGCTAAAATATACGTCTAAATTAGAGGAGAGTTAACTTAATTCTTATAAGGAATTTCTCGGTGATATTTTGATACAAAATGTTTGGAAGAAGATTTATTCTTTCGGTGTTAAAAGGAAATTTTCTGAAACTATTGAAGTTTCAGGAACTGATCTGTTATCAGGGCAAGTTTTCATCTTTTGAGGCTACAACAGATGTAATTTTACAGCAGTCTAGATGTTCACGATAAGGAAATTCATAAAACTATCCGCTCTGAGATGATGTCTTTCCATTTTCCATAGCTGAAGCTGATGATGTTTTTAAGGGTTTAAAATTATGTAAAACTCCTAGACCGGACAGAATCCGAAGTAAAATTATTCATAATCTTCAAGATTTTGTCCAAAAATCTTATATAAAATATATATATAACGTTTGTCTATATTAGCAACGATTTCCTGGTCTATATTAGAAACGATTTCCAGGTGGTGTGGAAGAAAGCTAGAATTGTGACTATTCCTAAAAATACTGAAGTTAAGCGGTCTTAGTATTGAAAATATCAGATATGTCAGCCTTCTGCCATGCTTAAATATTTTTTTTGTATAAACAGATTGAATTGTCACTTAAGAGGCAGAAATTTTTTGGATGAAGATCAATATGCCTTACGCCTCTGTATTCAGCTGAAAATGTGCTTTTTCACTTATATGATACAGTAAAGGAAGGTAAAAAGAAAACCTACGTCACAAATCACAAATCCTGGATATAAACGGAGCTTTTGAGAATGCTTGGTGGCCAGGAATAGTAAATTTACTGAAACGTGCTGATGTATCTAGGAATATCTTTTACATGATCAAGGATTTCTGTATACTCGCAGAATTTTTTACAGAAACAAAGTTGTTTATTATTTAACAGATTTTAAAGTAACTCAATTTTTGGAGGCAATTTTAAGAGCTATTTAAAGCAATTTAGACTTGCTTCAAATGCTTTGTGCAGCTAAGGTAGCGGCGATAAATATGTTAAGCATATTCTTCTTGAGTGCATTCATCATGTTCAGCAGAAGATTTCAGGTAACTTTGAAGCACTTGTCTGCATCTTTGCCACACATTTTTCGGAATCGGACTAAAGAGACAATTTCTGCTTTTCGAAGTTTCATTCTCAATTTAGTTGAGTTATCATTATTGAATACTTTTTATTTTATTTAATTTTACTTTTACTTATTTTCTTTCTTTTTTTATTATTATAAGTTATTTATTGTTTTTTAATAATTTTTACCTATGCTATTGTACATTTCTTTATTTTGAAAGTGGCATAAATTGCTTCTGTAATCCTCGTGGTATATTTTGTGGAGCATGAGGAGTTAAAATTACATTTCTCAAGGGAAAAAAGTATTCTTGTATTGTTCTGTAATACAGACTAGTACCATATGTATTATAAATATCATGTGGCTTATATTCCTTTAGCAATCCATGTAAAGCATCTTTTATCTACAGATTTTGTAGTCAAAAGAGCTTTGGAAGTTGGAACAATTTTTAGTTTTACACCTTGAAAGCATTTTAGAAGAGCAGATTCAGTGTCTCTCAGTTTTCAATCCTTTTCACGCGTTCTTGAGATATTTGCATTTAAAAAAAAATAGCAGTTCTTTAGTTCTTTCAATTACAGTTCTTTGTATAAGCAAATTTCACAAGGTTATTCATAAAATTCCCAATTTTAATGCATCCTTTCTTTGACTGCAAGCACGAGGAACATCATAATCTTTTAATATTTTTTAATTTTCTTTCATGCTTAAATCATTACTCTCAGGTATTTTCGACATACTACCGGTTAGGTATGCAACAAATGGAAAAGCATACCTTCCAGTTATTCATTCAATTTCAAAACTTTTGTTCCTAGATAGATAATTCTAGATAAGAATCATTGCATTTTGTCTATTAAGTGTATCTGTCACTTCCTGATTACTTGGCATGAGAAAAAAATTCTTTTTTTTTTTTTTTTTTATTCGGAATACAGCCCCTTTCCATTCAAACACCGATAATGCACAATAATGCTGCGAAGCATTTCATGAATTTCCACAGTCAATAGGTGAGTATTTTCATTTTATGGGTGCGCTTGTTTTCGATTTCTGTTGATGATGGCAATGAAATCCAGGGAGTTTAAAATATTTTCAGACGCAAGGAATTCGACAATTGCGGCTTGTTTCGACACATGGTTTTAATTTCTACCTTTGCCAAAAATCCAACTTCACAGAGGTATGAAGATATAAAAAAGAGTAATATATTAAGTTAAATATAAAAAGAGTAATATCTTAAATTAAATATAAAAAGAGTAAGATTGTTGAATAAATAAACAGGATAATATCAATTTACTACGATTAAAATTCAGTTTATTAATGTATTTACAGAGAGGTCGGTAAGTTCATCATCAACTTTTGACCCTATACTAGTAATAATATTTTCCTGGAAAGGATGCATAATCTATTCTTCTGTTACCAGTTTTTCATTTCCTCAGTAACGTAAAAATAAAATTTTCTTTCAAAGCATTCAAATATTTATGTAATTATGCTACTAGAAACGTTCACATTAGCTCTCATACTTGCGACTTTCAATATTTGATTCCCCTAATAGTAGTTTTTTGATGAATCTTCGAATTTTCTCATATACTGGAAATATATATGTACCCTCTACGCCTTGTAAGTATAAATTAAATTCATTAAATTTGATGAGTATGTGTGCCAAATACGTGACCTTCCCGACAAATTTCAGATTGCAGCGACCTTTCTAACTCGTTTCTGTCGCTCAAAAACATTGCGATATCTTCACTCTTAAGCACTTTCTTTCTTAATAGTCAACGTATTTCCTTATGCAGAAGAAGAAGTGATTTGTGGTTGCTTCACAAAGTTTTTTAATTTACACCATTATAATTATAATAATTTTATTAAATTCATTATTTTAACAGTAATGTTCCGAACATTCTTTAAATCATCTGACATAGATTTTCATACCAGCGCTGCCCTGTGAATGTTACAATGAGTCCATGATGCATTTGGACTAAATGCAAGCACTTGATTCAAAACGCTGCTTTTTTACCGCACATAGCTCGTGCCCCATCTGTACATATCTCGATACATTTCATCCAATCTAAAATTTTGGATTTTATATAAGCTCTGAGAGTCTTGAATGGTTCTTCGCTAGTTTCTGGGATAATTGGTTTATAATATAACGTATCTTCATGAGTTTCATTGTTATATATGTAATGTACGAAAACAAACTGTTGCAACAAACCTTGTACATCAGTAGATTTGTTCACTTATAGCGAGAAATATTTCCTTTCGGTAACTCTTTGTACCAGTTCATTTTCTGCTCACTGGGATATTTCATCAATTCTGCGAGCTACTCTGTTACTTGAAAGTTGTATTGTTCCGAATTCCTTTAAGCTTTTTTCACCAAACGTAACTTCAACCGCAT